TTAAACGAAAAGTTTGCAGACTTCTTGTTAATGTTGGTTTATGATTTTCGACCAAAACAAGCAAACTTTTGCGCATCCTAAATAAACATTGCTCTTCAATATTTCAACGGATCTTACTGATTTCAGTTATAGCCTTGCCTTTTCTTTTTAATCAAACGATACTGCTGAAAGTACGAAAAAAACCCGTTTGCAATGATTTATTGTTGCATTGATTATTGATTTTTCCGATTTATTATCAAACATAGAAGCAAATAATGTTATTTAATTGTTATTATCCTTTCAGAGAAATTTACTTAAATGCCAAATTTGTCGTTTTTAATTTGTTAATAAAACAAAGAATGTAAATTCGGGGAAAAATGTTCCATGAACAGTCTTCTTTGAGGTACCATGTAATTTTTAAATATTCAATTTACTTGCTATTTTCATATCTGCAATAATTTTTATTATTATTTTATTATGTACTTCTGTTCGGAACAGTTTTATTTAAAAAATTGTTATAAATTTTATTTCTCTTTATTGCTACAATTAAGTCACCTTTTGACTAAATTTTAATAATATTATTATAATCCATATTTATAATTAAAATCAAACATTTGAAGGTCCTGTATTGAAGACGTTCTCTTGGTTTAAATTCACTAAAAGTTACTCTTATAGTTTTTACTTAATTTTTAAGAGCTTTAGTTTCTACACTTTCAGCCGCTACGTTTGTGCATTTTTTTGGTATTTTTAAAACCTTTTATACCACAAAATCTTATTAATTTGGTAACACCTTTATGGTGTGCTTTAAGGTTATAATCGTTTTATTTTTTGAAACTGATATAAAAAATTTAAATTGATTATTGTAATTTTTCATTGTTTTACCTAAATTATGTATCTTCTATCTATAGCAATTGTTTATTTAATACTGTTACAGTCAATTAATTAGATTGGGAGCTAATTGCTATGGCTTTGCACACCGTTTGCTTTCAATATGATTTATGTCAGCCAATGTGATGTGCTTCATTACCATTCCCGAAACGTTCTTTGATTCGCAGTTATATTCCATACCAAGTGACATTGACAAGCTATCAGTTTAATCAGCATTGTGTAATGAAATCCAGCTATTCGTCGTACATACAGTTCCGTGATTAAATCAAATAGTTTAATAATGATATATCGACGATTTGCTATTCAAATGGAACGTAGGGTAAAGGGAGAGGTAATAACGTGCTTATTCTACAAGGGATTAGATCGAGATGTATTTTCTGACTTAATTAAAGGGGACGAAACACTAGAGGAATCTTATTATTAAATTATTGAGAGTCAAAACTATTTTAGTATGCGATTATGATCAAACGGCGAGGATAGAGTTGAAGACACGACGCGGATGAGTGAGCATGGTAGACCGGTAACCAAAGGGAAAAATTGGGAATTTTGTACAATAACGTCCAGTTAGTTTCAGTTTCCTCCGATTGTCAGTGTCAAAGTTATAGTTTTACATACCGAAGGTAATATTTCTTATTGACCGTTCTACCGTGTGGCAAGAACTCATGATGCAACACGCCCCTGCAATCAAAGTAGACTGTAAGCAAAACCTTCACAGAAAACACCACAAATGGCGCGGTAAACGCCACCTGTAGTACGATGCTACATTTTAGGATTACGTATGCTCCATTTTAGGATTACGTATGCTCCAACAAGGTCCATTTAAATCTATGGATATCTACTTGCTGAAACGAATCCCGGCGTAGCTAACCTCAACGTGATAGGCACGTTACCATAATCGAATAAAATAATTCGAAGTGGTCTGTATTCGGTCGAAACTGCCAGACGCGGACCGCGATTTCGATCTTTTTGGATCTTATCAGCGCATTGCAGACAGCTCCGACAGAACACAGACCAACTTTTACCTGCTGTCTTAACAGCGCGTTTTAGAAAACACCACAAATGGCGCGGTAAACGCTATCTGTAGTACGCCGGGATTCGTTTCAGCAAGTAGATATTCATATATTTAAATGGACCTTGTTGGAGCATACGTAATCCTAAAATGTAGCATATACTACAGATGGCGTTTACCGCAATATTTGTGGTGTATTCTAAAACGCGCTGTTAAGACAGCAGGCAAAAGTTGGTCTGTGTTCTATCGGAGATGTCTGCGACGCTCTGATGAGATCCAAAAAGATCGAAATCGCGATCCGCGTCTGGCAATTTCGACAGAAAATACAGACCAGTTCGAATTATTTTAATCTATTATTTTAAAACCTTCACATTCGACTTAATTTGGCGCGCTTTTTTTCGGTCTTGGCTCGTGCGGTCGCTTTCTTTGGGATGATTGAGCTTTGGTTTCCACGTTATAATCATAAACCCATGATTCGTCACCAGTTATGACCCTCTAGAGAAAATTTGGGTCGTCGAGGACAGAGTCCAACAGCTCCATATCAATGTTAATGCAAAGCTGTTTTTGGTTCAAATTGAGCAAATACGAGATTTAAATATCGTTATAAATATAAATAACGAAGATACATGATAAAAACAGTTACTAATTCACCGTTTCCATAATTTTGTGCAAGAAAGAGTCCAATATACGTATTTTTGTCCATTGAACTTACAATTGTTTAGGTTTTGCAGCACTCAATTTTAATCGAACTTAATGAAATTTTTTACTTGACTCCTTCTGTATTGCACTATTCTTATTCGATATATGTAGAATTGTCGCTTAGAAGTAATTTTGTTAGACATAAATTCCTGTCTCCCGAGAGGGCGATATATTTAACGATAATTGACATTTCATTACTTCACACCTAGCGCAACTGCTGTATGGTAGGGGTGGGATACAACACTGTAGAGTTCCATATCATATAATGTATAATTAAAAATATTCAATTTCATGCAGAGTAGAATTGAAATCAAAAATTTATTGTTTTTTTTTTTTTATTTATTAATTCTATGTCAGGAAAACCAAAATAAAACGTACATGGAGCCCAAAAAGAAACATTTTTATGATTATTTGTTTATGATTGTTCCCAACTTTTATAGTTTATTATGAGGAAATGAAAATTGTTTTAATCGTGGTATGTTCGTACGTAAATTCTATTGTTACAAAGTATCTACAGACAATACTTAGTCTGGTCTAAAGCTAGATTAACTATGATACATTTACGAGCGGCTTTTATAGACTGCGGATGATAAGTACAAGGTAGCAAAAGATGTCATGTTATGTTACTCTGTATCTTGTCTTAACACATATGGTATGTCCGATATAATATCTAAAACACATATTTGGTAAAGAGAATATTTTACAGTAATTATTTGTTTTGGGGTTGTTGTTTTTGTCGATTATTTCAAATGAAATGCTTTGTAAATGGGACCACCCTTATTATAGATGGACGTCGCGGTAATTTTGTCCGTTCATCTCTCTGTTGGCGTGTTCGACCCTTGCATCTAATTACGTTTTGCCATGTGCAAATAACAACATCATTAGCTTGAACTACTGGAACGGACGTCCTGGGGCCCCAGATAATTTCCAAACTTATTTTGATGCAACCACATCCCCCGCTGTTATCAATTTATAACTGAAAATTTTATCAATATAAACGACACTTAATAATTCTTCTGGATTGTTCATATGAAAAGCGAAAATTAGAAATCTCCCGTTTTGAATAAATTAACAGAAGCTAGAAAAGTAGAAAACCAATTACAACATTCGTAAATTAAAAACTAGTGTTCCACCGAAACTGATTTTTTACGACCGAAACCGAAACCGAATTTCGGCAACGGTCTCAGTTTCGGCCGAAACCGAAACCCAAACCGAAACTTCCTTATAAGGATCATGTTTTGAGAGAAAAAAAAAGAAAACGTTATTATAATCAGTTAGTTTTATTTTTTTTATCTTTAAATCACATAGCTCTGCAGTCTTTGACTTTTTCACTTATTGATAATCAAATCAAAATCAACATAACAACCCGTCATTTAAGGAAATACTTTAATTGCGCCTTAAAAATACTTAAAATAGGTGAGATGTTTATTTGAGTAAGTATAGTAGACTAGACTCATTTTTCTTTTGAAAATGCGAAATGTCCACTAATTTACTTCGCTTGGATGGAATTTAACGTGCCGAACATGACCGAACAGAGCGCAAGAACTCCCGAACGCAGTTTCGGTTTCGGTCGTAGTTTCGGCAGGTTTGCCGCCGAAACCGAAACTAAACCGAAACTCGACCGAAACCGAAACCGAAAGCGAATTTTCGGTCGGACACTATTATAAACTAATGAATGAGTATTTGCGTAATTTTCAAAGTAGTTCCCAAAAATATCTTGTATATTAATACCACTGCTTTTTGTATGCTTTTTGATACGATTACTTTTTAGTATTTGCTGAATGCAGCAAAATGCCTTCAAACTACAATTATGATAATAGAAAAAAAGCATTTTTTTGTAACTGACTAAATATTGTTTAGTAATAGAATTTCCTTTTTTTTCAGAAGTGATGTTTTCCTCGAGTCGTATTTGCACGGCATCGGGGATCGTCAGAGCAGTCCTGTTGTGGGGGATTCTTCGTTGTCACCACCCCCATGCAGGATTGCTCCCTGTCTATTGCCGGCACCTGCCTCGAGGTCGCTTTCCCGGGAATCCCTGGTTTCATCTAACGGAGGTGGTTCTGACGCTGGCAGTGAGGACAGCACTGATACTGGTTTGTTTTTTACGTTGCCTATATTATTTCTATTTATTTAGATGAACAATTAAATAAGGAATTCAGCTGCTCAGTGTAAAAATTTCGCTTATAGTATGTATGGACTTCTTCTCTCTATCTATTAATATGTTATGGTGTTCATTCTTATTTAGAAGTCCAAAAATGTTTCAGGATGTTTTAGAATAATTTCGCTGAAAAAGAGTAGCAATGTGTAGCGGTGGGTAAAAGATGTATATATGAACATGATAGAACGTTGTGAACATCACAATTTTCTAAGAAATGTCTGAAGTTCAAGATCTTGTCGAAAATTGTGCAATGTATTAGTATTTTCTTGAAAGTTATCCCAGAACTTTCTCAGCGTGATGTACTCTTATCCTAGCAATGCAAGCCTTTACGGCTTATATCAAGTAGTTGGCAGTATATGTTGCCATAATGTTTACTGCTTATTGTACTAAATTGTGGTGTTTGAGGTAAATATTCGTAGAATGGATATCAAAAGATGGCAATATCTTGCAAGTTACTTGATACCGTTGGAATGGAGCAATTTCAGTTTGAGCAATAATTTATAGAAATTATTAATAGTGTACTGATGAGAACTAATAAAATTGAAATCACTGTCCACATATGGTTTCGAAAAATTAGTGACTAAGAATAACTTAATATTTTTTATTTATTTGTTTTTTATTGCTATCATGTAAGTATGAATACAACTTGCGTCGTAAATTCAGTTTGGCAAATACTTATATAGTTTTATGAGGCGTTGTCAAACAGTATGTAAATATATTTCCAATTGCTTGATAGTAAAACATTATTTTAGCTCTGGACCGTATTTTTTTTTTGGGTTGATAGGCATAGGTGAACTGCATTTGAATTCCGCAATTAATTAGATCGTGGCTATAAGCACGAAATTTGTTTGCGATTCGTTCGAAGTTTTTTTTTCGAACAATGCGAGTTATAAACCTGCCAATTAATTGGCTCAGCCTTTTCCACTCTGTTTATTTTGTCGAAGTTTTACCTACTCTAATTAGCATTCAGTTATTCCACTCGCTTATAATGTTCTGCTTTTGTTGTTCATTTATTTCTCTTGTGTTAAAGTAAGTTTGGTACGTTTTTACGTCGTTAAGACAAGACTTGTTGGCATCAGGTATACTTTGCGCTCCGTTTTCAGCTCCATTTGCTCAGACAATTAATTTCATTTTGTAGAACTAACGAAAGTTTTCTTGTTAGGAGCAATTCATCGTTGCATAGTGTGGGTATTTTCACGATTTACTGGAATTTAATTTAGAATTGCTAATGAGTATTTATTCAAAACACTGAGGGGCCATTCAAGTATTACGCAAACACCAAAGAGGGAAGGGGGGTGGGGTCTTTGCTTTGCTTATTTTTGATGACTTAGGAACGGGAAGGAGATCTGGATAGTGATTATGTCAGCAATATTTATTTACTTTTTCTGATTTTTCTGTAAAATTTAGTAGATTCTGATTTGGCAACCAAAACTTGTTTGAAAGCGAAAAGCATGTTCAGGGATTCCCTAAAATAATTAATATTGCTCACTCACTCACGCGTTGTTTTATGTTTAAGCTATGAAAAACCGAAGTAAAAAAATTATGCTATTCACTTGTCTAAATTTGTTCGGTATTGTTTTTTCGTAAATTATCGAAAGTGTAAACTTAATAGGTAATTGGGTCACTTCAATAATTTCCGAATGTGATGTCTCTAACTAAAGATAATCACTATTTATTAAATTAAATATGTACAGAACTATGTACAAAAATGAATTTGGTGGTAACAATTGGTCGGTTGGTTGGTACTGTCTCGGCGAGACAGCTTGGTCAATCTCCTCAAACGTACTTACTTACACTGGTAAAAACTGGTACTCCGACTTTCTCCTTTGGTGACAAAAATTTCTAAAGGGGGTGAAATTCTTAGAATTTCTACACTTTCCGAAGTAGAAAGCGACCCTAGATGTTTTCAATTAGAACTGCTAATTAATGCAGTAACGTATACGAATTTTAAAAAATTTCTATTCGTATCTTTTGTTGACTATTTTTGGTTTCGTTTATCGAGGATTGTTCGCAATAGATAATTCATTATTATGATTATGCATTGATATGTAAACTCTTATAGACGAAAACAGGAGAATTGTGCACTTAAAGCAAAAGGTACTGAAAATGTCCCTGTTCAAAATTTTTGAAATTTTGAATTCTGGTAGTTCTCTACGTGTAGATCAAAAGTCTCAATGGACGCTAGGTCGTAAAAACTCGTCTTTTTGAGATGTAGTTCCTTGAAGTTGTTCTTACTTAAGGATTTCCAATTGTTCATATTATACGTATTGAATACGTTCAAATATATATTATGTATGTGTTGATGTATTATAACTATTTGAATTGCATATTATGGATGTAGTACGCCTCAACGTGATAGTGTACTAGTATGAAAAAAAAATGTTGGTGTACTTAGAGGGGTAATCAGACCCCAACACAGAACGAGAACCACCAGAATCCAAAATTTCAGAGAATCTGATCCTTTCACTCAGATAATGTTCTTGGGTAAAATTGTAGATCATGATATCGAAAAATCAGGCTTTCCTACTTATATTTCCTTGAATAAGAAGCTATAATGGACAGTTGTCTAATTTTATATCGCAGGATATGGGGCAACATGTGATATTAATTTAGTCGAACGGCTCATTCGTTCTCATCCGATATGGTTTCTTCCTGGAATTCAACGCGCTGGCGCTTTTCATCTTCTTCAAGGCAAAGAAGAAGGTTGTTTTGTGGTCAGACAATCATCGCAACCGGACACAATGGCTCTGTCAGTACGATTACCACCCGATAAAGGGCCGTACATAGAGCATTATTTGATTCAGTCGTCTGAAGGACGGTTAGGTTTAGAAACGAGCGAAAACAGATTTGACAACATGCCTGCTCTTATTGCTCATTATGCTAATTGTTGTGATGAACTCCCTGTGCAATTGACCCTTCCTAAGGCCATTCGTGAAGCTAAGAGTAGACAACAATTGTCGTCATTGGCCCTTTTAGGTCAGGAGTTTTGGAGATACAGTCCTCCACCGTCAGCTTCTTCTAGTCCTGATGTTGATTTGGTTCTTAATCCATTGTTAAGCAGTTTTAAGAAAACGGATTCGTCGACTCCAACTGAAGATGTTTCCAAGCCCATTCGACCCAATACGTTAAATTTGGTGACTAGTGTCGACGCGCCAAAAATGGACACTGTACCAGTGAAGAACACTCCGCTTTTGACGAAAGCAGAACTTTCCAAAGTACCACCTCCGCCGCCTCCGCGGTGGTCTAAACCTACAACGCCTCAAAGCAACTTCGGAACTCCACAAAATAATTTTACCGTTACTACTACCGTTACGTTTAGTGTTAAACCCGAAAGTCCTCGAAATGAGTTGCCGTCGTCGCAAATGGAAGTCGTATGCGATCCCAAAAGGATGTCACCGGAAGGTCAGTGCCATTCAACAGTCTCTTCAAAAGATAATAGTTTGAGAAGAGGTCCTGATCAGGTCGTCTCCCCTAACGGATCCATACTGTCGCCCTTATCTGACCCTAGTAGTATATTATCGCCTGACACCTTATCTCCTCTTTCCGTCACCAAAACGGGGCGGCATAGTAAACGATCAAAGCATAAAATATCGAAGCATTATCAAGAATCCGATATCCTCGATTCCCCAACGGTGTATTATAGAAGTGCTGTGGGAGACAAAGTCAGCGATTATGAAGATCTCTGGACTAACGAGCATTCTACGTTTAAGCCTAGAAATTACAACAATAATAACAATAATAATATTTGCAATAATTTGCCATCTCCTGATCTGCTTCAACACACGCAAAATGTTGTTTCCTTGAACAACAATGTTTTAAGTCCGGCGGACTCTCATAGTGGCTCACAAAGGAGTCATTGCAGCACACCAGTGGTCAACGTTTCCAATCAAAATTCACAAAATTTCGTACAATCTCCTGTTGGAGAAGTCCCGAAGAATCCTGAACCGAAAGACAGTGCAAATGGGCAGTCTCCGAAGCAAAGTAGCCCTTTCTATGCTGAACCGGCAGATTCCTTGACGTCTATAGCTGTTCCAAGACGTTTTATCGGAAGAAGTTTAATTCCTATGCAACAAAGGCATTCCAACCCACCGGCCTTACTTTTGCATTCCTCGCTAAGTCCTGGTTTGGAACGAATTGACTCTCCTGAACTTAATGGTAAACATTATAACTTTATATTTTATAATAGAAGACATTGTTTGTATTCTATGTCTTTTACTGTTTATTTTACTAAAATGTTGCTTCAGGTACTATTTCTTCGTCTGTTGGTAATTTGAGTCCTAAACAGAAGCCTGTTCCTCTTAAGAAACCGGAAATAAAACCTGTACAACCTCCTTTCGTAAAACCAAAACTAAATGAAAACTGGACAATAGATAACAGCTGGAAGTTTTTGGTCAATGAAAACGATGCAAGTATGGATTTAAGCGATGCAGATTATGACTCAGATTGGCCTTCAGGACCACCTCATTTACCACTGTCTCCACATGCTTGCGATGCTGATGATAGAATTACCATTCAGGATTTAATTGCAAGAAGGTAAGTAATTAATAATTTTTTTTCTCTTTAATATTACATTATGTCATTAATGCTAATAACCATCAACCGTTAAAGAATCGTTGTTATTAAAGATTATGCTTAGAATTATAAATGTTAGTTCAAGTTCAGGCGGATTATAAATTTAGGATACTTTCATTTTTTCAGAATATTTTCGACTTTGCTATGTGATGTACCGTTATTAGGTAGGTAACCCTTCTATGAAGGCTAGTGGATACACTGGTGTCAGAGAAATTACTTTCTTGAGGTAACGGAACAGAAATGAATCGGGAAGGATCATTTAGGATCCCCAATAAGGGGTGTCAATTTTATTATGGGGGTATCTATTAGTTTTAAAATTAGAAAGTGTCGTTATTAATGTCTTTAATTTTTCACAGATAATAAACATTCCACTCTGTAAATTTTTGAGTTTTGAAAATTCCGTCTCGCAAAAGCTCACTTAATAGTTTTTAAAACGGTTATTAGCCAATGGTGACATTTACCACACCATTGTTATTATTTGCTAGTTTTAAGTTTAGGTATAAGAAGGTATAGGCACAATAGGCACATGTTACTGAAGAAAGTCACTTCCACTGATTTACTTATAGTAATTACTCATTCTTTATTAAGTTTTTGAAGATACTCAATTCTGTATATATTTTTGTTTGTATATATATAT